TGTTACAAATGTACAGGCTGCGTAACTTGCAGTCACATGGCTCCTGGTACCTCTTTCGCACATCCGCAAACAGGCAAACGGATCACTATCCAACACTACATTACCTGTACAACCGACCATGTAGTTTATCTGATCACGTGCCCTTGCGGGCTAGCATATGTAGGTAAAACGGATCTTACTGTTAGAGATCGCATAAGAGGTCATCGTTCAGCAATTACCACAGCCTTTCGTGACCAACACACTGAGAAACCAGTGGCTAAACACTTTCTGGCCCTAAACCATCGTCTTCCCACTCTGAGATTTATTGCCATTGATCATGTTCCACCTTTACGTCGAGGAGGCGATAGGTCTAAGATTCTTTTACAACGGGAAGCATATTGGATTTATTCTCTAAAAACAGCAGCTCCAAAAGGACTCAATGAACACGTCACATATTCTATGTTTCTCTAATCAACACTTGCAGATGGGACATGTGTTTATATAATTTTATTTTTTATTTTTTTTATTATTATTTTTTTCTTTTGGACTTATTTCCTTCTATGCAGGTTCGCCTGGTATATTTAATATTTTTTACAGTTATATGTATTGGCAGCAGTATACAGTATTGACTTTTTCTTGGATTTTTGTCCTTTCCCACCGCAATAGTTGATCACAGATCAATAGGAGTTCGCTTCATTATGTCTATTCCTCATGGATATTATATTACAACAAAGTATAGGTTTGCATATTTTTATATATAGACATAATTATTGGTCTAGCTTTAGATTTTTTCTCCAGATCTGCTCTTAGGTCCAAATTTTCTACAATATAAATATGTAGTACTTATTGTAATGGTGCTTAATTCATTTGCAGTAATAATTTTGTAATTATCCTTGATTCAAGGTTTATATTCATATTTATACCTTATGTGCATCACATTTAGCATCACCTCATTCGGGTGAATTCTTGGATCCATCATCTGATAGTTTTTTCATAGTTGCACTATACTGATTCACATTCTTCTGCACTTAGTCACTAATCATGACACCCTTAAGATCGTGGATACCACTAATTGCCGCATGAGGTTAGTTATCATAATATGGATCTATTCTTTCATCTTGTTAGTTCTCCCTTACCATTACTCTTCACTTTTGTATCACAGTATTCGTTACACTTTGGTAACTTACACTCGTTGTTATGACAACCTATCAACACTCCGCCTGACGACCTGACGTAGTGACGTCGGGGCGGCGGTCCTAATTCACTTCCGGGTTCGGAGAGGGGAACACACAACGCTAAGGTTTGGTAAGTGCACTTACACCTTATTCTATATAAATGCACTATTTTGCTAGTTTCACTAACCTTGAAAAAGACCTGTAGAGGTCGAAACGTTGGTTTTCGATTTTTTTCTGTAGCACATGATTTAAAATAAAAACAGATTTTTTGCACAAGTCCTGAGAGTGCATTTTGGATCATTCATCAATTATATATATATATATATATATATATATATATATATATATATATGTATATACATAAGTATATACGTATATGTAATGGACACGGGTTTATTATGGTCTTATTCATTAGAAATCACTTAATATAGTTTATTATGTTGAGTGCCATTTTTGAATTGTACCATTAGGGGGAGTAGTGAGCACCCTTTTGGAGACTTTCTTTGTCTGAGCCATGCGGCCAAGATGGATGCCTGACTCCTCCCCATTCAATGGCACACAGGGATTGGGTAAGGAAAGTCACATGCTCAGTCCCTTTATATGGTGAAGCCACGTGCTGGAAGGGAACCATTCTTTTTCCAGGCCGAGCATTGAACATCTTGCAGCTGGCAACTGATAAGTATTTGTATCGCTGTTTTTATTTTTAAGTTTTATTTTAGTTAGTTTAGTTTTATTTTATTTTAATCTCATTTTAGTTTAGTTTCATTTTAGTTTAATCAATTATTATTTGGTGGTTTGATTAAACGGTAAATCATATTTTTTTGGATAACATTTTGGTAGGGCAAAATCATTTTTATTATACAATGGTTGATGTGTATTTAGCATTGTGAGATTATTGCAGTTAAGATTGTTGTAGTATTGCATTGTTAGTTAAAGTATATAATATTTGACAACTGTTTTATATATGTGTATATATATTGTTTCTTTATGCATGTATATTAAACATTATATATCTTTTACACAACTACCAAGGTGTGTGTCAGTTTGGATATTAATTGTTAAATCATATCTCTTCGAGTGTACATTCTTTTTTTTTGGGTAATACTTTCAGGAGAGTGTTATTTGACTCCCATTGTGATGCATGCCACATGTGACTAACTCCATTTTGGAATAGCCCACATGGTGAGTAGACTCCATTTTGGATTCATCCTATTTCATTTGTACTTTGGGAGCAACATCTAAATTATTAAGATATACCAGTTAATACCATATCTGGTATTAATTTAGATATTTGGAACAATTAATAAAATTAGCGATAATTTTCCGTTTCATCTGGCGTAGTCGGCAGGACATTCCAGGAGTTATTAATAATAATAGTTAATAGCCAAACTGCATATTTCCACAATTTTGTGATTTTTTTTTTATTTTATTTTTTTATTTATTTTTTATTTTTTTCCAGAAAGTTATTTTTTGTTAAAACTTATCAGGATTTAGTTTACAAGCCTCCCAAGTTATGTTTGGGTGACAATACCACACTGCGACAAGAGTGGTGTGTTTTAGTGTTGTCATTGCTGCAAGTGGCTTGAGTACTAAATGGTTTTGTTTTGTAATGATTATATTGCACTTGAAACTTTTATGTATTACTCATAAGTCCATTTGAAATCCTGTATTGCTTAAAAGTAGCCTTTTGTGTCAGTTTTATATTGCCCTGGGAAGGGGATTAGCTATTGTATATCCCTGAGAGACCAGGAAATATAAAATAAGTAATACGTGGGTGTATTGTGTATCTGCCTAGCGGGTGAACTGCCATAACGCGGGCTGTAAACTTAGTTACAGTAGCGGGTGGGGAACTTGGGCTAGGGGGTATTGAGCACATCTGCCTAGCGGGTGAACTGCCATAACGTGGGCTGTAAACTTAGTTACAGTAGCGGGTGGGGAACTTAGGCTAGGGGGTACTGAGCATATCTGCCTAGCGGGTGAACTGCCATAACGTGGGCTGTAAACTTAGTTACAGTAGCGGGTGGGGAACTTAGGCTAGGGGGTACTGAGCATATCTGCCTAGCGGGTGAACTGCCATAACGTGGGCTGTAAACTTAGTTACAGTAGCGGGTGGGGAACTTAGGCTAGGGGGTACTGAGCATATCTGCCTAGCGGGTGAACTGCCATAACGTGGGCTGTAAACTTAGTTACAGTAGCGGGTGGGGAACTTAGGCTAGGGGGTACTGAGCATATCTGCCTAGCGGGTGAACTGCCATAACGTGGGCTGTAAACTTAGTTACAGTAGCGGGTGGGGAATTTAGGCTAGGGGGTACTGAGTATTGGACTTTTAGTGACTAGGAAATACATATATATTGATTGTTGTATGTATGTATGCTTGCCTGGGAAAGGGGGTATTGACCCATAGGGACCAGGGGGTATTTGTGTAAACCGAACTGGGGTGGGAGGGCTCTAATGAGGGAACCCCATTGTCCAGTAGGTGCTTGATTTGTGTCTGTGTAAGTGCATGAGTGGTTGCAGTGCAAAACGGAAGAGTGCTAATAGATAGCTGTTTGACAGACCACTAGAAACCACATAAGTATGCATACCTTGTTCAGAAAAAAGCGTGTGAGCAAAGAAGAGAAGGCCACGTATGGGGCAGTCCCTGAATGGGCATGTCTGGGAAAATGGACAGACATAGGGAAGGAGCTTGTGCATTATGCAGCTCCTGTATACCCAGCCACCCGTGGTGATGTAGGGAACATGGCATTGAGACTATGTCTTAAAGTATATTCCAAGAAACAGAGTAAGGCTGCAGCTGAAACAGGATGGATCATTTTGCATGCCTTACGTGAGGAGGTATTAAAAAGAGAAGCCTTGGAAAAGGAACTAATTGATGTAAAGGGAAGGTTAATAGTTGCAACTGAGTGCCTGCTTTCTAATAATGAACGAAATGCTTGTTTGGAAGAACAGTGTGCTACGTTGCGGGTGGACAGAGTGAACCATAGGAGGCCTGTAGGGAAGTTGCCTAAGCCATTCCGAAGGATGAGACCTGTGATAAAGGACTCTCTCAGAGAAAGTTCATCATTGATTTCTTTCTCGGATGAGGAGGAAGATTTTGTGGAGTACAACTACGAATCACCTGATGATGTACCGGACTGCCGTAAGGCCCGTCCTGTCATCACTCAGCAGCGGAAGCGCAGAGTAAATAGGGACCAGTATGGTAATGCAGGAGAGGCACATGATGAGGTGAATGAATTGATGAGAGGGTATACGCAAATGGAATTGTCCAAGTTGGCCAAAGCGTATAAGCAAGGCAGTGATGAAAGCATGGGCGAGTGGCTGTTAAGAGTGTGGGATGCTGGTGCAGACAAAGTGATGCTTAATGCAACAGAAGCAGTGAGTCTAGGCCAGATAACTAATGATCCCCAAGTCAGGCAGATTTTGCGACAGGTGAGGGAAATACAAGGCAACTTCTCATTGCTGGATATTGTGAGGCATGCCTTGTTAAAAGTTTTTCCCTCTCATGTTGACATAGAGCCTCACACCCCCTGGCGCACCTTAAAAGAGGCAATAGTTCGTGTAAGGATCATGGGATGTGTAGCAGGGTTGGATAAGGATAATTGGGCTGGGCCAGATGTAGAGGAATTTACACAAAGCATGCGGTCCCGATTCCTTAGAACAGCCCCTAACCATTTAAGAGCTACCTTGATGTCACTATTATGTGGAGCAGGTCCAAATGGGATAGTACATAAAATAACAGTGTTGGCAGAGCTAGGGGAATTTGAGCAAGAGTAAAAAGGGAAAAGGGGTATAGCAGCAGCTAGCAGGCCTAAAGACGAGAGTGAGGACATCTCCCCAGTTAAACAAATGTCTGCCCCTCCAGTCAAACATAATCCAAACAGAGACTCCACCAAGTATGCTATTTCTCGAAAGCAGATGTGGGCTGACTTGGTCAAAACTGGTGTTTCTCCTGATGAGATTGATGGCATCTCTACACCTGCTATGTTTGAGAGGTGGAGGAACATCGTAAAAAGAAAAGTGCATGCTGCATATAGGGATCACAGTTCTGACAAGGTCAGCCTCATCAACCTAGATGAGGATATCTCATCTGGTGCCGCCACCCAGACTGACATCAGAGATTACTTTAATTCAGACCAACCCAAGATGCCCAAGAAACACGTTATCCCTTCCACAGAGAAAGTTAAATCCATCTACCCCTCAGAGGAATTATGGGACATTGCAGCAGCATCATTCAGCTGACATGATGGCGGTTCCCAGGCAGTGAGTATGTTTCCCCTTACTGCTGGGGACCGACGCCCTCATGTACCGCTGACTGTATGGTGGGGGCGGGGAGCCAACTGCACCAAGGTTTTGGCTTTAGTGGACACTGGAGCTGAAGTGACTGTACTACAGGGTAACCCCTCAAAGTTTGCAGGTCCCATTGTGAAAATAGAAGGTTTGGGAGGAAGGATAACCAAGGCAGTGCAGGTTAATGTAACTCTATCTATTAATAAAGGCCCAAAGTTTGTGACTAACGCACTGATTTCAGAATTACCTGACAATATCTTGGGGATAGATGTATTGCTAGGGCAAAGAATAGAGACTCAGTGGGGGGTGTTCACCTTTGTATTTCCACACAAGCCTTCCTATATCAGAGCTATCAAGGAAGTTGTGAGGGGAAATGCCAACTGGACACCTGTGGTAATTACTCCTCCTAGTAGTCCGGTAAGACTGAAGCAGTACCGGCTACCAGGAGGACTGAAAGAGATCAGCGAGACAATTTCTCAGCTATTGACATCAGGTGTAATTCGTCCTGCAGTTAGCCCGTTTAACGCTCCTGTGTTTCCTGTCAAGAAGCCGGATGGCTCTTGGCGCATGACGATAGATTATAGGGGACTCAATAAAGTGGCACCACCATTAAGCGCTGCAGTTCCCAATATCGTCTGTGTCATTGAGGACATAGCCAAGCAGGCCAGTGAGTGGCATGCAGTGATCGATTTAGCTAATGCGTTCTTTTCTATTCCCATTGCACCCGAGTCGCAAGATCAGTTTGCTTTTACTTGGGAAGGACGCCAATACACTTTCCAAGTTGTGCCCCAGGGATACTTACACTCCCCTACAATTTGTCATGGATTGGTTGCAAGGGATTTAAGCCAGCTCAAACTAAAAACCCCTGTGTTCCACTACATTGATGATATCATGATCACTGGTACCAAGGAAGAAGTGGAACAGACTTTGCCTTTGTTAATTGACCATATGACTAAGAGAGGCTGGGCTATCAATCCAGACAAAGTACAGGGTCCGGCCCAGGAAGTAAAGTTTCTAGGAATGATCTGGGACGGCCCTGTAAGAAAGATACCCCAACCTGTGCTGGATACTTTACAGAACACTCCACCCCCAAAGACTGTTAAAGAAGCGCAAAGATTTCTGGGTGCCCCCAGCTATTGGAGGTCATTTATACCTCACCTTGGACTGTTGTTAAGGCCAATTTACAATGTCACACGTAAGAAATCGACTTTTGTATGGGGAACAGACCAAGTTACTGCATTCAACGCAGCCAAAGAAGCTGTTCTTCAACACCAGGGTTTAGGACCCATCAAAGCTGGAATCCCTTTCCAACTGGATGTGATGGTGACAGAAAATGTAATGTCTTGGGGATTATGGCAGCCACATGAAGTCAAAGGCCAGAGGGCAATACCAATTGGGTTCTGGTCCAAGCAACTAACTGGGGCCCAACAACGGTACTCTCCTTTGGAAAAGAACCTGTTAGCTGCATACACAGCACTGCTGCATGTGGAAACCATAACACTACAAGCACCAATGTCAGTCCGAACGGACCTACCCATTGCTGGGTGGGTTCGGGATGACTGTTTACCCCTGAAAGCTGAAGTTGCCCAAAGCCAGACATTGTTGAAGTGGAAGTGGTACCTGCAGGAGAGAGGAGGGATACAGGCTGGAGAAATTAAAGAACTCTCTAAACTCTTAAATGGCTTAGTGACATACAAGTCCTTGTCACATCCAAACACCTGTGAAATACCAGTACTGCAACCTTCCCCTCTCAAGTCAGCTCCGCCCTATGACAACTTGACAACAGAACAGAAGCATGATGCCTGGTTCACTGATGGGTCAGCGGTGTTGACCCATAAAGGAAGAAGGTGGACAGCAGTAGCCTACAACCCTCAACAGGGGAAGATTGTGCAAGAGCAAGTCAGTATGCTGAGCTAGTGGCAATAGCATCCCTGCTGGAAGAGACTGACTCACAAGAAATACAGATCTATACTGATAGCTGGGCTGTTT